GCATTTCCTTGGCAGTGCTGCTCAATGCTTGGACTTAATGACCTGAGGTGTTTTCCAACCCAAATGATTCTATGACTTTACCTTTTGCACCTTTTTCACCTCTGGCTCCATATTCTTTGCTCTTGGCCTCCCATCTCCCCACTCCTGCCCAGCTGTAGCTCTCACCTCTGAAGCCATGGAAGTGATCTGGTGTGGAAATTCTTTTCTCCTGTACCTGGAGAGCAGAAGAATTTCATATTAGAAGCAAAAATTAAAATCCTATTATAGTCCAAGCAAAAAGAATCCCAGGGGGATCCCAAACATGAGCTGGAAACACCTTCCTGAGCATGCAATGAAAATCCAGTGGAGAATGGCATCTGTTCCTGCTTTTGGAGTGCAAATTCCTTCCACCTGCCACAGGCAAAAAGTCAAACCTCCTCTGTTTTCTGCCTTCACACTAAAACCACTGCAAACCTCATTAAGTGGCTTTGCACTGGGGATGCTATTTCAGGCCCTGCCATCAGCCAGCACCAAGGAGGCACCTGGGGATGCTGGGCCAGCTGACATTCTCCAGTCAGCATGGAGAATGATGGAATACTTTCATTTCCTGAGCAGGAACAGTTTGCATTTCTAGAGCTACATCAGAGCAGGCTAGAAAATCACTGCTCAGGGCAACTGCAGCTGTTAGAGAAAAGGTTGATACAAAAGGGATGAACATGGTTTTGGGATAACACCAGCAAGCTAAGAACATTGATAACTCATATCATGTTCCTTGCCAACCACAAGCCCTAAAGCCATTTCTGAGGGTCAATGCCATGTTGTGTCACCTGAAAATTTCCTTTAGGTGCTCTGTTGTTTTTTCCCATTCTGGTTTTTGCTACATAATTATTACTGGGGATGAATCCCTACTGGGACTATCCCTTCTGCAGGTGTAGAGTACTCAAAGGAGCTTCCACCTCAGGTTGAAGCTCAGGTTGTCATGTCTAATCCTGCTGGATGATAGTGGTCATGGAAGGGGAAAGGTTCAAGGACTTCTTAGATAATTCAGGTAATCAGAGGGAAAAACAGCATTGATGATGCCTTTGGCTATGGCCTGAAGTTGGGACTTCAAGTTCAGTGGCTGCAGCTGAAGGACAGGTTGACACGAGATTTTAGGAAGGAATTCTTCCCTGTGAGGGTGGTGAGGCACTGGCACAGGTTGCTCAGAGAAGCTGTGGCTGCCCCATCCCTGGAAGTATTCCAGGCCAGGTTGGATGGGGCTTAGAAGCACTTGGTCTAGTGGAATGTGTCCCTGCCCATGGCAGGGGGTAGGAACAAGATGATCTTGAAGGTCCTTCCAACCCAAACCAATCTGGGATTCTATGATCTCCATAAGACTTCCAACTCCTGATAAGGGATGAGGATGGAATTCTTCTCTGCGAGGGAAGAACAGGTTGCCAGAGAAGCTGTGGCTGCCCCATGCCTTTAAGTGTTCAAGGCCAGGTTGAATGGGGCTTGGAGCAACCTGGGCTAGTGGAATGTGTCCCTGCCCATGGCAGGGGGGTGGACTAGGTGAACTCTATGGTCCCTTCCAACTGAAACCTTTCTGGGATTCTATGTTCACCTTGGTGGCCCCAGCACCCTCAGGTCCTTTTCTGCCCAGCTGCTTTCCAGCTGGATGTCCCTCAGCATGTCCTGGTGCCTGGGGCTGTTCCTCCTCAGGGGCAGAACTTTGTGCTTCTTCTTGTTAAACTTTATAAAGTTCCCATCAGCCCATTTCTCCAGGGCTTTGAGGTCCCTCCGAATGGCAACACAACTGCAGTATAAGCCACTCCTCCCAGACTTGCTGAGGATCATAGAATCAGAGAGGTTTGGTTTGTCCTTGGTGTGCCCTGCATCACACACAGCTGACCCCATCCCCCCAGATTTACAGGGATGAGGAGCTGCCACAGAGATGGGGGTTGGTGAGCTAAGCCCAGTCCCACTAAGACCATGATGGACAGCCCAAATAGTGCCACTAGGAGCTTCATATGGAGCTGTGGGTCCCAAAGCCATGAATTTGGGGTGATAGGTGAGTTGTTCCCTCTGTTTCCCACTTCCCCCTCTGCAAAGCACAGCTGTTCACCTCAGGATTAAGATCATCCCAGAATTTTTTCCCCCCCCAGGCTGAGGTCTGAGGTTGCCACGGACATAGAGCACAGACAAGGGACACTACTGCCATGCTTTGTACTCATCAAGAGTAATCCCAAAGCCATGAATTTGGGGTGATAGGTGAGTTGTTCCCTCTGTTTCCCACTTCCCCCTCTGCAAAGCACAGCTGTTCACCTCAGGATTAAGATCATCCCAGAATTTTTTCCCCCCCCAGGCTGAGGTCTGAGGTTGCCACGGACATAGAGCACAGACAAGGGACACTACTGCCATGCTTTGTACTCATCAAGAGTAAACCAGTTTCTC